TGAAAGGTCTGATAAGAAGGTGACATTTTGAGTATTCGTGTGTGTAACTACTCGTTCCACTTGTTCTTCTAAGTCAGGTGCAAACTGTAAAATCTTATTAAAAACGTCAATACATAAATTTTGCAGAGGTTTCGGATTTTTGAGAGCATTTGTGCGTAGCTTTTCTTTAAATCGTTTGTAGGCAGCTGGTTCAAATATATCCTGTGTTAATACATCAGGGTTGAACGGATATATTCCAGTTTTTTTGAAGCCGCTTTTTATTATCTCGGCATTTGTTTCTTGCCACGTGTCTGCAAACGTTTGAGAAAAAACATTTTTAGGCATTTTAAGTCCGACATTATGGCGCTGCCATATAACTAATTTAGCATCCCACTTACACTTAAATGATCTAAAGACCGCCACATCCAATGGTTGTAATAAGTGGGAGGTGTGAGGTGGTAATTTTAAGATTGTGATTCCATGTCGGATAGCCAGTTGTACGACATCTACAGTCACATGAGATGAATGGCCATCGTAAATAATCAAAACGGGGCGTTCTTCACCGAGCGCCGGAAATAATGCTTTTTTCAAGTAATTCACAAATATCGTACCCTCCATCCAACCTTTGCTGCTTGATGCGTATGTCAACTCAAATTCATAATCTTTTTTATCAGTCGTCCACTGTTTCCATACATATTGCCCCTTAAATACTATTAAGGGTGCAATTTTTTGGCCAGCGGCATTTGCGGCCGCTAAAACAGTAATATTTTCTTTGCCACTGCCAAATGTTGCTCTTGAACAAGGCTTGTTAACCGCACCTACTACTTTCGTCTTTGAAGGATCTAGACACAGAGAGGTCTCGTCCAAGTTCCAAATTAAATCGGGACGGTCAAACAAATTGAGATCGGCTAATGTATTTCCTAGTAGCTGAAAATACTCATGAATAATAAATGGGTCTGTCATTTTTTTTCGAGTATATTCAAGAGGTTGAGGTTTTTTAATTGACAATCGGTGTCTTTTTTTAAAATTAAGAAACCAATCTAGGCCAGGTCTGTTGTTATGAAACGGAGTTTTAAGGTTATTTTTCGCAACATAGTCAGTAACTACATCAAGCGTTTCATTTCTAGACAGACCAAACCCCCATTTCTCCATAATTCGAAGGCCATTTGCCAATTCTTCTTCTTGTTGAAAAGGGATAGCTTGTGGTCTACCAATGTTTTGGATGTGATTTAGTTTCACTTTATCAAAAAGAGTCGTTGTGGGAATGCTATATTTTTTTGCAGCACCGTAAATTGAAGATATCCCCTGGTTGACTTCTTCCACTGCTTTTTCAACATCTTCTTGGGAATATTTTTGCACTTTCTTTTTTTATATATTTTCGAGGCATCACTCTGAAAAATTAAATTAAATACTTAGTATGTAAATGATACTTCACACTTGAATTTCAGTAGGTAGGTATATTCCACAGACATAATTTCTAAATTTTTGCATTATCTGTTTAATATGATGAACTGATATCAAAATACTAATTTAAAAAAATAAATTGACTTCAAAAGAGTAGTTTTATTACTTTACCACAAATTGTTTACCTACTTAGTAGAAAAACCTTAATTCAAAATTTTTAGCTATATATATTTTTGTGCTAAAATAGTATTGTGATATTTTTAATATTAATTTTTTAATAATTTTTTATTTTTGTAAAGTTTTAGCAAAAATTTATTAAATGCTAAATTGTTAAAGCAGTTTGTTGACAAGAAGTTTGGCACATTCACTACGTCATTATCCCGGTCACTTAACCAGCCAACTTTCAATTACATGTATAAGAAAATATCTTGAATTTACTTACCAGTCTCTTCATCAAATAAATCTTTAGTAGGTAGGTATTAACTTCTGCAAACAAACAAAATAAAAAAAATATTTTCATTTAACTGTTAATTTTTGATTTCACAAAATTATTGCACCTAATATCAGCTTTCATAATAATTAAACTCTTACAAAAAAAAGTGCAAAAATTGTTTAATTGTAATTCTATTACATTTTTATTACAGCGCAATAAAGTACTTATAAAAAAATATTAATTTGAGAACCACTTGTCAAAAGCATAATCTTTCGAAATTTACCTATGGGGCAATTTTGTAAGTATTTTTGAAACTGTAGCTATAATGATAAAGATAATCTAAAAATGCGTCAAAAACGTCAATCCATTGATAAAAAAGACAATAAATCGTTTAACTTACCAAATCACTTAATAAAATGATGTGGGGTAACTTCGAAACTCCACAAAATCCACGAAAACGCACTTTTTTTATAAAATGTCACACACAACACACGTACCTGCTGAGAGCGAACAGAGTGAACTGAAATCTGGGAATAGATCAACATGGCGTCGAAGTCAGTGCTGCCAGGAAACAATATAACTTTCTGTATTGTAGTAATGTTTGATTTTTGAAATTACCCCAGATTCGAGGTTACCCCAAAGCACCCTAATACAATGTCACCAGTTTGTGGTACGCTTGGTAAGTGTACCCCATGGGGTACGTGAGATTGCCTGGTGGAGGGCACTCTTGAATAAGGTAAGGGCAATCTACTGAGATAAAAAAAAAACTAAATAACCGATGACGACCTTTATTTTTTTTAATATAGATTATTACTAAAACTGTTAGAAAGTTGACAAGTGACGAAAATATCATTTTATATTTTATTTATCATTTCGGCCATCAAAGGGTACCGCAAACTTGAGCTCTTTCTCGAAGTAGTGCTCAAAAAAAATTTATTGCGAAATGCAGGCACTAAAACAATATGTTGCTAATATTGAAAGCTATACGCAGATGTAAACATATCAATAGTAATAAATAAAATTGGAGTGTTGGTTTGTAATGTCAAAATAACAGCTTTTACTAAAAGCATATGAAAATGTATACTGTATACGGTACTTATAACAAAAAATACATATTTTTAAATTTTTGTCTGTCTGCCTTATTGTTCCGGCTTGATCTCCGAAATGGCTTGACCGATTTTGACGGACTTTCACTGGCAGATGGCTGATGTTATAAGGAGTAAAAAGTAATTTCAAAAAGAATTAGTGTTTCGTGCAAAATAATTAAAACCCACGAAATCCAGTCGTAATAAATTCCACGCGGACGAAGTCGCGGTGATCAACTAGTCGTAAATACACATAGATATAGCAGTGACAAAGTCATTTCGTAAAGAATCTTCTGGAGATAGTGTAATATCATACTGTATAATGACAAAATTTTAAGGTCTTTTTAGACGCTATTATGTATCGGTACTTACAAAGGCTTAAAAAGGTCGTACCGGCCAAATATATCATTAGAGTCAAAAAAATTGGATAGTTGCGTGCCGGGCACGCATAAGACAGCGCTCTGCGATTCAGATTATATCCGATATTTTCTTAAGTATTACTTCTGCTATTTTAAAACGTTTAAGGAGAAAAGGGACTCATTGAAGGATACTTGTTACTATTACCGTTACAGCCTATGACAAGTCAACTACACATAGCCCTCCACATATATTGCCACATAGGGAGGATATTTGTCATAGTAGTTATGTTTGGCGGGCCGGTCGGCAATAGTTTTTTTTTTTTTTAGTTATTTTTAGGAGACTTTGCTGTTCATCTCTTGGTTTGTTTTCCTCTATCGCTCTTACGACATCCACGGGACGACATTGTGTAGTGGATTAGTTCACACCGCCACTACACGTTCACAGTCAAGTAATTTATCGGGTCACATAAATTAAAAAAAAAAACTTTCAAGTATCGATATGGAAGAGAATAAAGATGCGGACATGAACAATTATTAGCGGAACCAATGTAACAAATGAATATCTAAACAGTATGTCACCATCATTACGGCCTTTTACAAGTCCACAGCAAAACATAGGCCAAGGAATGACCACAAAACACGGTGCACTAATTGTCTTATCCACTCGTCACTCAATCTTAGTGGGGTACTTGAGTTCGCTTACCTGTGATTAAAACTACTTTTACGGATTTTATCGCGTTTATTTTTGCTTTTAATTACTTTTATTTTTTTTTTTTAATTCCCGACGTTTCGGGCGCTTTCCAGCACCCATGGTCACGGGCGACTGAGATGACTGACGTCCCGATGTCATTGTTAAACCCGGAGTACCTTCAGCTTTTTTAATTATTGTTTATGGTCCGATCTATGCAAAATGAACTGACTATGTCTTGAGGTCTTGCAGTGGTATATCAAATCTCATGAGATTTGATAGACCACAAATCCTCGCGAAAGAACACCGATTCCTACCAAGGATGATACGTGAGGCTATTGAAATTAAAAAACATCCTACATTTCAAGCTGTAGAGAAGGAGGCTGGGTACTACCACCTACTTGGGATCCTATAATCAATAAAATTAAAACTAAACATTGAAATAATACTGTTTTTACGGAATTGTATAGTCAGTTAATTTTGCATAGATCGGACCATAAACAATAATTAAAAAAGCTGAAGGTACTCCGGGTTTAACAATGACATCGGGACGTCAGTCATCTCAATCCCCCCGTGACCATGGGTGCTGGAAAGCGCCCGAAACGTCGGGAATTAAAAAATAAAAGTAATTAAAAGCAAAAATAAACGCGATAAAATCCGTAAAAGTAGTTTTAATCATGTGTAGTGTTCGCGTAAATATAAGAAATCATTTCGCTTACCTGATTTAATTCTCACGTAAAATATTCATATTAGATCAAGAGTTGATAGTGTCAAACGATTTCACTAAAGAGCATAATATAATCGAAGATGGCCATATTACGGATTGATATAACCATAAAACATATGCTCCAACCTTCGACTTTCAAATAATGTGAAACTATCTGATAAAAAAAATTATTTTCAGAAGGGTCTAATAAAAATAAAAAAAAAGTAATAAACACGGTACGACAGGACAAAGAACCAAATATGGAAACTAAGCAAAATTGTTTCCATAACGGCGCCCGCAATCGCATAACTTTATGTGTTAAGGATTAACTTTCGAGTGTTTTAATATGCCCGCGCTCTGGCAGGCATCTCAGCGTCCTATGTACATTAGAACTGTATGGATCGACGGATTTCGACACGCGATCTTAACACACGACGATCCACATTACATCGAACTGAACGCTAAGAGACGGAGACCTCATTCGTCGGCGAGCATCAACCCTAAACGGAAAGCTCAAAGCTCGCGACTCAGCCATCACAGCGATTCGAGTTGTTTGAGAAAACTCGACCTTATAATCAAAAGCGATAGAATCATAACCGCTCAGGATCCAGACATTGAGAAACTTAATTTAACGGAAGTGGAAGTAGATGACGATTACGTTCTTAAAACATCTCCACGGCCACATTGTAATACTGACAATTTCCAATCAAAAACCGAATCAGTAGATATGAAGGCTGTAAAAAGCAACAGAACAGCAAGAACTAACGTAAGAGAAAACACCGAGTTATCTGACAGGGTGCTGCAATGGTTGGACTTAGCTGGGAAAGTTGATTTAATAGCATCTGAAAACCCGGAGCGTTTGTGTCAGCCTAGACACAGTTGTCCAGAGACGCAACGGCGTAATCTAACTAAATCCCGCACTGTTACTGATTTAAAAGTCAGAGAGTGCAGGTCTGTACCGTCGACAGAGTCTAAAATAAGTGATTCAATCGATCGACAAGAGCTCTACGTACCAACATCGGCGACAACGATCGAAAACTACGCGAGACAGTCACGAATTGTCAAAAGCACGCCACGAGAGAAACACGTGAAAACAAAAGAAAACAAAAAGGTCACAGACATTCGAACAAATGTTGTCGACACGAGACTGAAAATGATCAATGAAAGGAGTGCTATGGAGAAACAGTACGCCGAATTGATTACCAAGAAAATAATACCAAATCTGAGTAACGCAAAGAAACAGGTGCACATTTTTATGCCGGAGGCAATAGCAAAGAAACTTGGCTCCACTGGAACCGGAAGTTTACTGTCACAGAAATCTTAAATTGGTAAATGTAAATTAGTGGTGGAGTGACGAATAGTCCAGAGGGATATACATATTTGAATAGAATTAGAAATTAACATTTTACTGTATAAACTCACACTAAAGAAGATTACCATTTACTTGAGAATATGATAAAAACTACAATTTATGTTTGCGTGTCGATATAATAAAAAATAATGTCCTTAAAAATCTGTCACGTTTCCAACTTTTCTGCTTAATATTTAACAAAATACTTAGTACTTATAAACACGATTCTTTACATTATCAGTAAGGTAATTTATATGCATAATATACATAATTTACTAAGAAATTGTCAAATAACTTAAAACTCTTATGAATGCCACACACGGTGAAAATATTGAATTATTGAATTTTTTGATATATTGATAATTATAAATATTTAGTTTTATATATAAGTTTATTTCAATCAATCTACAGTTTTAGTTTCAACTAATCAGTTGGAATGATCAGTTGAACTGACCGTGTGTGGTGACCAATACTTTTGTCATAGTAGCTTGAATATGTTACTCAATACAACTATGAAAATATTGTATTATTTACGCAATCTGATGTAAAACGAAGTCTGGAAAAAATGTTAAACGCCTCTGTATCGGAATTAATTACTGACAATTTAAAAAAAAATGTGAATTAGCCGTGAGGTCTCTAGTAGTATTCAGACCCCTATTATAAGTTTAATGGTTTAATAATACATAGAATTGCTTGGAGAAAAGATACACTCGATAATGCATGTCGGACTCGACTTGGCGTAGAAGCGCCACCCTTAAATGTAATTTTAACGTAGACATTATGTTATAATAAATCATAATAATAATGTAATTTATATAATTTAATTTAATAATTAAAATTTAATAATTTATAATTGATATAAATTATATAATTAAAAGTTATTTACTAGTCTTTATTAATATATCTAAGAAACGAATATGAAAATGTTTGTTTTATTCTGCCTAGAGATTGCTGTCTTTACCTATAGCCCTGCCACATTTATAGTTAGTTATTGTATGAAAGAATTACAATCAAAGCTTCTTCTTGTTGAAAGAGTGACGAAGTAGTATTATTTTTTATAGCATTGGGTGACAAACGAGGACTGTGTCCAACTGATGGTAAGTGGATGCTGCGGCCCATAGACATCCACATTTATCCTCAATTAAGAATCAAAATGCAGATGCGTAGTCACCCCTGAGGACTAAGATGGGATACCTCGATTCCAGTAAAAAGGGTCTCCGGTTCTCTACACTCACCATACGAAACACAGCAGCATTACGCTGGTATTCTGTGAGAGCGTGGTCCTGCCCCGGTTGAGCCGACCCATTCGTGCTACAACCATGATATAACTGCAGCGTGGCTGTGCCACGTTCAAAAAGAGAAGTAATAATATGTATGATACAATATGTATCGTAGGCACGGGAAATCGCTAGAATAGGGGCGTCGATTAAGTATGGGAGGTGATTTTGGCGATTTTTCTAACCCCACTCCGCCCCTCTTTGGTGAGTTGTGAAATTTGGCTCGTACTCCCATGAATTTTCCCTACTACATATATCTGATACGTTAATATGTGCTTGATTGCGTTGGGTTTATTAAAAAAATGCTTAGTTACTTTTATATAATTTGCGAAGTTAGTATAACTCCACTCCACTTCCTTAACTCCACTTTTCTCGAAATTTTACACTGTTTCTAATTACACAAAATTACGTGATGTTTGTCGAGACCTTGCCTCTCCCCCACGTGAGATTAATGAGATTCGACTCGACCTCCCTCTCCCTCCCCCCTAAACTCCTCACGTAATTAATGGACGCTCCCTAAGTTGTAGCGGGTCGCAGCTGAAAATCATAAATAGGTCAGTAGTTGTCTAGTCCACTCTTTCCGGAACTAACGACAAATCTCATTACACGCGAAAAGGCGAGGGCAAGGAAACAGTTGAATAAAATAAAGAACATAAAAACTTCCGATTTATTAGTAATTTATAAGTCAAATAAATACAGTGAATTTTCCGTTTATATTATTGCGGCGTTTGACAAAAAATTTATAAAACCAAAGATAAACTCTTGTAAGGTAGTGTATCAATTGGAAGAATCTCTGCTACGAACATGATTTTCAGTTTTTCAATTATTTTAGGTGACTTCAAAAAAGGAAGCAAGAGGTCCTATATTCGACTGCATCTTCTTTTTTGCATGTATGTGTTACGCAATATCGTTGTCAATTATGAATATATTTTAATGATTCTTTTTATATTAAACTAATATAGTCTATATGTGTTTGTAACATATAATTTTTTAAATTAAAAGTTCAATTTTTCCAATATCATATTTTTATCATTATAATGTATGTAACCCAAATCCCACCAGACAGCTACTAAAAGACTTAAGACCGCACCTTAATCTACTGTCACTAATATTGCAACATTGGTAAAATGTTTTATTAGCCTAATCATACTAGTAAATATATATACATATAGATTTACAAACACACATAGACTACATATATATCTAATGATTCGTTTTATATGGAGGAGTGTTACCATATAAATTTGGAGAAAATTAATCTAGTATCCCACAGGGTCTATAAAACTAATCTATCTATCCCACAGGGTGCATAATAGACGGTGATATTTTAATGCCTACTTCATCAGCCTTCACAAGTCCACTGTTGAACATCGGCATCCCCCAAGGAATGCCACAAAAAGCACGCTCTTAAGCCACCTGCATCCATCGACTTCCAGCATATCTTACCAGGTCGTCACTCTATCTAGTGCGGTGCCGTCTTACACATCGTATACCGGTACGAAAAAATGCTTAATTAGTGCACTCAAAAGGGTTAATTTTTTTAAAACTTTTAATAAAAATTAAAAGCCGTCTTCAAAGAGCTAAGAAAAATAAAAAATAAACCACATAACTTCTCTCTAGCTTCAATTTTTCTAAACACTATGTCTTATCACAAGATGATGGACCAACCCTCAATTATAACCTATTTAATATGAAAAATATTATTAAGAAGTAGTAAAATTAAAAATTTTGTACCACCGACTTCAATATAAATAAAATGAAAACATCATCAATGTAGTCGAAGCCAATTAAATACGCATTATTATTGATAATTCAAAAATTACTGGTCATATGTTGATCAAATTTACATGGGACCACATGAGAAGTATCAGCTTTCTAATACAAAAAAAGAATCATCAAAATTGGTTCACCTAGAAAAAATTCTGAAGTAACACATAAAAAAATATAGTCAAATTGTGAACCTCCTCTTTTTTTGAAGTAGGTTGAAAAATAGGTTTACAATTGAGAAAGATATCACAAAGAACGGCTTTGACTTTTAGAAGAAAATACAATTTTATTCTGAGCTTATTCTCTATAGTATATTTGTATCAAGTATAATGTTTACAGACCTCAGCAGAATGCAAATATATATTTTTTTAAATGAATCAAAAGTTATTACAAGGTCTCCTCACATTTCTAAGAGGGTTTAGAGCAATTAGTGTGTCGCACTGCTCCAGTTACCATGTAATGGCGGTGTGAGAATATCCACTACTCCATATCATCCCGTGGGTGTCGTAAGAGGCGACAGAGGGTGAAACAAAACAAGGACACCAGCGTCTTCTTAATAACGACTAATATAAAAAACTGCTGTTGCCAACCCACTTGCCAAGTGTGGCAACTAAAGCAAATGTAACTATGAGGCAATCTATGGCCTGAACATATCAGCAGTGGACTTTAATAGTCTGTAACGGGTGCTCCAGTGCTTGTTGGCGGACTTCACGTGTCTCCGAAGTATTTTTATTCCTCAGACATGCAGGTCATAATGTTAAAATTCATCAGGCATCAATTATGCCGTGTACTCCGTGAATTTCATAGTAATCGACAAGATAACTGAAATTGTCAGTGGCAGTTTTAGGTGCTGACTCAAATATTTTGATTTATGGAACATAATACCGTGAGGATAAAGGTAATTCATAAGTGTGCGGCGAACTCTTTCTAGCTCCATAAATTAGAAATGAAAGGAAGCGAGTGCCCAACAATGGCAACTACGTTAGCAATTTAAATTAGTTTTCATTTTACTTTAAATATAAATTATACTTACTCCAAATCCGATAGTAGCGACATCTCTAGCTTGGAAACGGGAGCGCAGCGGCGGGTCTAGAGGTTGACCCTGATAACGCGGCACTGGTAGTCCTAAAGCGATCACGCGGAAATTCTCATCTACACGAACTAGTCGCCATTTTGACACTTCCTCCGCTCCATGCTCCTAATACAAAAGTGCAACAATAATTCGCCCATAATTAAGTCTAAATTTCTTCAATTCTGACATATTTAAGTGGTTATGAGTCATGTATAATATCATATATTATATAAAACTATAAATGTTTCCTGTATCATGGAAGTATTAACACAAAAATTGCACATGGATAAACAGTGCAATTTATATACGAACGCATCCATTGCGTGCGGGATTCGAACCTGCGGCCAACATCGCCGCAGCCAAACGCTTAGCCACAAGGCTACCGAGCCGTCGTCGCATTATCTTTATCGCAAAAAGCCAGGATGGCATTAAATCAACTATCTTAATATTGAAAAATATTAAGATAGTTGAAATATTAAGATTGTATGAAATACATGCAAAGTTATTGGGATACATTTGAGTCGGAACCACCCTCCTTAAATACCATAAACAAAAGCTGAACATAAGTTTTCTATCGCATCGAATTCGTATCGCCTTCCAGTGACTTAGTATGACAAAAAATTGCCATTACACACTCCAATGGATCTGTTCATATTTCTATTTCAGATTTCTACATAATTTTAGACAACGACGATTATAAAACATTGTCGATAACTTGTGCTAAGGTATCCAAACGCAGAAAAATCAAGTTACTTGACATAAAGTAGGTTGTCAGATAGCATAACCATACGTGTAGTGTAACATTTGCTCTTAATTTTGAATGTGTTTTCTTTATATTAAATATCTAATACATTTCA